AGTGAAATTGCTGTTGCATGGAGCTGCTATACCTAGTTCAGTAGATGAAAAATTTAGGACTGAGTGCAAAGAGTTTTTTGTTGCTTCTGCATCATATTTACAAGAAAACTTTCATGTTTCACTTTTAAAGCTTCCACAATTTCTTCATCCAGAAAAGCGTATTGCTCTAGGTGCAACAAGTGCAATATCTAATTTAAAATCTTTTCAACAGGAAAAAAACAGATCTAGAACTTATACAGATACAAGTATATTACTCCCCATTGTTTTAATTAAAATAGTATATTTTCTTTATTTTACTGTTTGAACTTTGTCATTAAATAAAACATAACTAATACAAATTTTTTTGAACAAAAAAATTACATTACATCAAGGATATGCAAAGCTGGCATCGAGGTTGCAGAAACTGCTATTGATGAAGGTAATAGAAAACTGCAACACGCACTACTCAAAGTAAAGTTAGATAAAACTGTATGCCAAGCTTCACTAGTAATAATTGACACGGAATTAAAGCATAAAAGAGAATTACAAATAAATCTTGAAAATTTGGAAAAAAAGAAAAATCTGTCAAATAAAGTTATAAAAGCTGCTGAAAAAGCATTTTTCTTTAAACTTTTCACGTTATTTTATATTAAGTAAAATAACAAACTTTATAAATTTTGAATTATAATTTCATACTGTATTTAAATAAACTATGATATATACTAATAATAATAATATACCAAGTACATTTGCTTTCAGTCTTATCTTTTTTTTTTACTGTTTATTTTTGATTTCCAGTAAAGTTGTTTTCCAGTGAAACTAATTCTAATGTAAAGAAAATCATGTTTTCTATGATATTTTAAAAATAATAAAAATGTGCAATATTTTTTAGCAACGTGCTTATATTTTGATATAATATTTAGTAAATAATGCTTTAATTTTCAAAAATTATATGAAAATTGATCCTGCAGTCATCAATTTTAAGTTTTCTATAATATTTAATATTATTTAAAAATATATATATATGCTTTTATAAATTTATATAATCCATACCCTATTTATAAAATCAAAAGCATGCAAAAACATGCAAAGTTTTAAAAAGAAGCATGCAAAAGTGTGCAACGCAATTGAGAAATAGCAGGCTAAAGCATGCAATTTTAGTAAAAAGTAGTATGCAAAGGCATGCATGCATGACAATATTAATGTATAAATATATACATATATATATATATATATATATATATATATATATATATATATATACATATATATACGTATATATGTATATATATATATATATATATATATTTATATATATATATATATATATATATATATATATATATATATATATATATATATATATATATATATATATATATATATATATATATATATATATATATATATGTATATATTAGAATATAAATTAAATTTACACTAATTAAGTTAATCCTTTTTTAAAATATAGAATATTTTTTAATGTTTTAATGATTAAAAAAAAACTTTTTTTTTTTTTCTGTTTACATCATTGATTGACATATAGGTAGAACATGCTAGGAGTGTTGCTATGCATAAATAGACATAAAATGTTTAAGAGGTTTGAATGTAATAATATAAACCTAAACATTTTTTGGTGTAATAAAAAAATTAAGGGTAGTATTTCAACTATTTGATTATTTTTTTATTAAATATAGAAATAAATCTGTATTGATAAAATATCTTAGCCTCTTGCAACATATTTTAAGGGTAGCACCAACTCCATCTGTAGGACCTTAATTATGAGCTGCTACAAAGTAGTTCCATGAATAGTATTTTAAAGGGCACATCTACTGTTTTATGAGCAGTTGCACATATAGCATAGACACCACAATCAAGCTTTCCCAAAACTGATTCAAATGACCGAGCTGCACATAATTCACCATTTTCAGATGTCACACACTGTACACCTATATTTGGAGAAAATTGTTAGCAGCATTAAAATGCATACTTTGATATTCTTTGAATAAATTATAGATGAAGTTTTGGGAAAAGTTTTTCATTTCTTTAAACTCATGTTTCATTATAAATGTTAATAATAAATATGTTGCTTCAGTTGATGCTTTGAACATAAAAGTGATTTCCTTCTCTTTGTCATGAACAAAAGCCTGTTTTCGGTTTTTCTAGCTCATTTTAAAATTCTTCTTGTTTCTATTGTAAGCATATTGAAATAACTTTGTTTTAACAGGTTTTACAATTTCTGTACATGCAACCTTTTGTATTTATATTGCAACAAATTATGGTACAGCTAATCTTTCAAATATTTTTTCATAAGTTGGTTTCAGGTTATTAGTTGATGAAGTTTGTTAGGAACAAACTTGATGTTTCAGACTCAAATCTAAACTTTTGTCTAATGAACTTGTTTCAATACTTGATGAACATGGACACAAATGTTTTTTTTTTATTTGTTAGACATGAATTTTAATTTTATATTTGTGCATGCAAGTCTTTTTTAGGTCTTTTTTTGTCTTTCTTAACTATTTTTCTTTCCTTTTCAAATCTTTTACTTTTTGCTTTGATCATCCATTTTTGACTTGCATTTTATTGGATAATTGCTTAATGATGACTTTTCTATAATATTTGTTGGCACCAGATTCTCTTATGTATGTTATTTTCTATTATACAATACTTTTTGCGTCCTAGAACAACAATTTATCTATATTCAAACCATCAAATGAACAAAGAATTTGTCCACTAATTTCGATGAAAAGTTTATTTTTACCATCAAGTCATGTAAAAAGCAATAAAGAATATAAACATTTGATTAAAGTAGAAAATAAAAACTTACAAAACTATTTAATGAGAAACAAATAACTAGTTTTCCACAATATGTTTTGTCAATGTGGAACAACAAGTCCTAAACAAAAGTATTTCATTTATACCTTACTCAAATTATATTCATCGCAATTTATTGTGGAGAGATTTAAACGATCCATTAATCTAAGAATGTTTTATGGAAAAGATGACAAAGGTCAATTAACTCACCCATTGTTTGAGTCAATTAACTCACTCATTGTTGTTTGAGTGGCAGCAATAGCAATAGCTACTACCAATAGCATTTCAATAGCATTTTTATTTATTTCTATACACTATGAAATTTATTTTTAACTTTTTGCTCCTTACTTGTTCCTGTACTTGTTCACAACATTTTATTGCTAGTCTTGCTATAATATAGCTTTACATTTTTTTAGAAGCATTTGTAGAGAACTTTTATTTTTCATGTTTGCAGAGCTTTCTCTTTTTTACATGTTTTCTGACTCACTTTGTCAGTGGAAGGGAAATTTGTAATATTTTTGTTTTTTTAAATCTTAGTAGTTTTCATCTTCCTAAAGCTTTAGCATTTTATTATACTTACTTTATTTTGTTTTTTACTTTTTCTTTTGCTTTGTTTACTTTTGGTTTTGTAGCACTTTATTAGACGTTTCAATATATTTTCAGACATTTCTTAACTATCTATAATATAAAACAAACAAAATGTAAATTGTTTGGTTGAATCAGTTGAGGTGTTTAAGGGTCTGGGGCTATTTAAAAACAGAAACCATTGATGTATGGGGCCTTTTCATACCTCCAAGTTCACTACACAAATATTCTTAAAAATAAAAAATCTAATTTTAAATTGGCGCTAAATCTATAAGGCCTGGAGTTATCCTAGCCACTTGACCCCCTTAATCTAGCACTAGGTTGAATATACATTTGAATTTCAATACTTTAAAACTTAGTCTAAAAGATAAAAAAACACTTGCAAAAAGTTTAAAAAATGTTAATAATAATAGTATTAATAACTAATTAAGTTTAATTCATTTAAATTATTCATATTGCATTGATCCAGTAGATGTACACTTCAATATCATTTTAGCTGTTAATGTTAAGTGTAATTGTGTTTATTAATTTAGTTGAACTATTTATAATAAGATCATATGATGTTTTATGCTGTGATTCTAAAGTTTGAAAGTAAGAAAACTGATCAGTATACATTACCAAAATGAAAGTTACATAAATATGTACTAAATGTTCAATAAAATATTTCTTATAGTTTCAATAACTTAAAAAAACACAAATATTTTAAACATACATATATATACACACAATTATAAAAGCATGTTTACTGCAACTATCTAATGTCATACTAATTTAAAGAGCTATGAAGTGTTCTGTACATACATGGACTAATATAGGGAGAATATGCAAAGCAGTTATAATTGCTGCTACATTAGTGAAGAGTTTTTGTTGTTTTTGACCATTTTTAGGGGTTGGTTTACAACAACAAGATGAAAAAAGCCTCCTAAAACTTTAGGTAGAAACCATTCAAGTCTAATATTCTAATAAATACCATTTTTTTAAACACTGAAATTCTAGTATTAATTATTTTTCTGTCTGTCTTTGCAATCAAGCAAAAATCATTTTTATAGAAGAGTTCTCATGATTAACTGACACTGAACCTTTTAGATAGAACGTTTTATTTGTAAAAAGAGACTTGAGCTAAATAAAGAAGTCTTTTTTTATATTTTCTCTTTCCTTATATGACATACCAACTTCTGCATTCCACCACCACATTTCTTTATGATTGAGGAGTCTTTTGTTCTTTTACATGCTTTATTAGATAACTTAAGAAAGCTTTTTTGTCAGGTAATTTCAACCTACTGCTTGAATGCGATTTTTAGAATGATTAACTACTTCACCTTCTTTCAATTTCCAGGTTTGCACAGATTTTGTAATAAAATGATATGACAAATAACTAGATTGTGCTCTGTAATGTAAGCTTCACGCTGTATTTCACTTATGCTAAACTCACTCATGTTCTATATTTTTACCTGACTCATAAGTTAACTTTGTGTTGATCTTTTATATAAAAAGCACCTAATACAGACTAATAGCACATTAAAATTCCAAAAACATTGCCATTGTTTTTAAGTATTTGTAAAAAAATTGCCATTGTTTTTAAGAAATTGTTATTTTGTATATTATTTGTAATATTTTTTTAGTTCCAGGTGGTTGTCCACGTAATTTTACTGTTGCAACAGTCAACTTTACAAATCTAAAATTATCATGGGCTGAGGTTGAAAGTTCATTAAAAAATGGAATAATAGTAAATTATATTTATTGGTGTAACAGCTCTGATAATAGTTTTTCAAAGAAAGTAGACAACACTACTTTTAATGCAGAAATTAACAATCTTATTCAATATCCAGATTCAATTTATAATTGTTCAGTCGCAGCATGCACCAAGCTTGGTTGTGGTGTGCAGGCTTTTGCGTTTAATATTACATTAGTCAGAAGTAAGTCATGTTTATTGTATGTTTTGCTTTTGTTTAGTTGATGTATGTAGTTAAGCCTTTGTCTACTTTTTACATATGAAAGAAAAGAAAATAAGACTATCACCTGCGTAACCACAGCAAATTATGTCACTTTCTATAATCTGGTAAACAGTGTTATTCAAGTTAATTGAAATCACATACAATCACTGCGTTTTTGCACATATGTCAATAAATTAAAAAAAAACAAACACAAAAACCATGCTAAATAATATTTGGTCGATTGGCTCATAGAAATTCTGTTTGAGAAGAACAGTGTTTCTATGAGCAACAGAAATTCAGAAGAAGATTGTTTGACATGAGGTTTAAAGCTTGTTGTTCTTTAAAGAAGCAAAATCTAACTACTCACATGAAAACAAAAAACTGGGCACTTTTGCTCCTGGACTATGGAAGAGTTGTTTTCAGTGATAAGAGTATTATTCAATGTTCTGAGCTGAAAGTGCAGTATGTAAAATAACAAGTTGGGGAGGAAACTAGAGGACTATATTTTTCAGCATATTAAGCACCCAACGCGAGGGTAATAACATTTTACCATGTTCTGGCAATAGCCCAGACATGAACTCCCTTGAGAATTTATAGTTGATTTTTAAAGCTGATATGAGAAAGAAAAAGATTGCAAGCAAGAAGAGATTATTAACTCATGGACAAAAAATGTAGAATTAACTGGCAACATCTCTAGTTCACTCTATGCAAGAAATAACACAAACACTTCTTAGGGTTAAAGGTTCCTTCACCAAGCACTAGATAACAATCTCTGTACTGAAATTTTTATGAGCAGCATTTTTGAATGCTTTTATGTAAATTTGGGAGTGAATAAAAATGATTTGACAAAAATTTGCTTATTTGTTACTGATTTCAATTTGACCAACACTGTAGAAAAATGATAAAAAAAGTGAAATTTTAGACTCATACCACCTCACTAATCAATGTAATGTGAGTCTATTAACCATGATTCAAGGAAATCTTTAAATAACTTAAAAAACTATAACAATTTTTATTTATGAAATTTATTAAAAATAGTTTCCAATTGTGATTTTAAGATTGTTTTGTTATATATTTTTTTGCTCAAAAATTGCTATAATACTTAAAATAGTTTAGTCATAATCCATTCTTCTCATTTTGTTTGTTGACATATAAGTACACACATGCGCATATACAAAAAAATTATTTAAAAAGATGTGTTTAAATTTACTTAATATAAAGTTAAGTTTATATAATATAAAATGATTTTATAGAAATTTAATTTTTGATCCTTCTATTTTGTTTGATATATTTAATGTTATTTCAAAATAACATTCGATGTTATTCCACCAGTGTCTTTTTCAATGTCATTTTAATGGTAGATTTTGATGTTAGTCCAATTCTGCATTTGGCAATACTCTAGTATTTTTATTTTTTTTTTAATGCGCAAAAATAACTTTATATACAATTGTTCTTTCTTTTTGTAAAAGTCAATAAAAACTCTTATAAAGGGTATCAACACTAAAGTTGATACCCTTTGTAAGAGTTTTTATTGATGGTGAGTTGTTTAAAGAAGTATTTCTGAATGTTGCAAATGTTTCCTTCAAGAGATTTTCTAACAAACCTTAGATTATCTCAGCAACACAAGACTTACAGTTATCGAATAACACCGTCACAAGAAGAGTACGTGCAATTTAAACAAACATAAAAACTCAGTTGGAAATATGTGACTGTTTCTTGCCCCGAGTCAAAGGTATCAGACACCAAACAGTTGCAGTTATGGTGAGAATGGAATTTAATAACTTCACAGTAAAAGAGGATATGTTGCAAATATTATCTATGAATGGATAGACAATGGGTAAGGGTATTTATAATACATTCGGAACATATATCAAGTCAATAGATATACTTTTTCAAAAGCTGTCTGCAATAACCACCAATCGGGCACCAGCAATAGTTGGTAAAAAAAAAAAAATTTATTTTAGAACCTTAAGGATAATATTTTGCTAAAATCATCAAAATTAGAGGAAATCTTTTGGAAAACAGTGGACAAAGAAATGTTCCCATTTTTGAAAAATAGTGGCTTATAAAATGACTCTTTGTATTTGCCTTTTTTGTTTACTTCGTTTACATTTTGTAAATAGGTTTTTCTCTGTATATGTATTTTATTATTTTGAAACATTTGTGTTAATGTTTCAAAATAAAGTGTTAATAAATTATCAATATAAGTTAAGAAATTATTGGAAAGTTATTATTGAAATTATGGAAGGAGTTTGTTGATTAAAAATCAACAAACTCCTTCCATAATTTCAATAGTTTTTGCCTGCCACCCTACCCATATTTTAGAATGTGCTATAGAGTACAAAAAGTTTGAGAATCCCTGTTGTAGTAGACTGAATAAATTTTTAGACTGAATAAGTTTTTTAGTTTGATTTAAATAGCTTTAGTAAAGCTTTAGTTTACTAACGCCAAACATTTTGACTAATTTTTAATTTTTTTTCAACTCAATTTTTATACTTTAATTTTTAGTAAATGTTTTATTGTTTGTTTCATTTTACTTTTTATTTTTAATAGATGTAAGAGAAACATTTCACTTAAATAATGTGTAATTTTTATTTTTGTTAAATAATTTTAGATGTTTCCAAAACATTGTGGAAGGTTTTCAATGATGTCACTTTACAAGGGTATCAAATTTTATTATATATTTTTTTATATTTCTAATTCATTTCCAACAAGACTGCTAGCAACCTCTATTAAGTTTTGAGTTACTAGAGTTAAAAAGCAAAGTTAAAGTTAAGTTGACTTAGGAAAACATGAGGATCGGAGAGAGATCCAAAGCATTAAAGTGTGAAAAAAAAACTAGATGAATAAAAGTTTTTAGAGCATGAAAGGACAGATACAGTAAAAATATGCAACTCTACTGAATGTTGAGTCAGCAAGAATGAGATTTGTTTGATGACTAAAGATGATAGCTCCTTTGACACTATTTGTAGAAAATAGAAAGAGATGCAACCTTATGACAAGAGAGAAGCTCAAGCCTAACAAATAAAATAAGGTCCGACTACATCTACAATACGTTTTTAGAACTTGTCTAAAACAGAAAACAAAGAATAGAGTTAAAGAGCAAGAAAACGGTTGACAGAAGACTTGAAAAGTTGTAGATTGTATGAGTCAGAAAAACATGAAAATGGAAGTTGGTTCCAAAGGGTTAAAGTGCAGGGAAAAAACTAGATAAAAGTTTTTAATGCATGCTGGGACAGATACAGTAAAGGAATGAGACTTTGTCAAATGATGAATCAAGTGACAATTGGTGTTGGTTAATGAAACTAGAAATTAATAGCTCCTTTGAAACAGGAATATAAATTTTAGTTATCAGCAAAAAAAGCTTCTTTTGATGTAAAGTTGTTGGGAGGGTCATTAATAAAGATAAGAAACAAAAACAGGACCAAGGATAGAATCTTGAGGTACCCCAGAAGTTACTGGAAATGAAGAGTGTTAGCCTTCAAGCATGACTTAATAAAGCAGTTAAAAAGAAATAATTTGAACATCTCAAAAATGTTCTAAGATACACCATATGAATCAAGCCTATGGAAAATCAAGTCAAAAGCAATGGCCTCACAATCTTAATTTAATGCACAATAAAATTTTTAAAACACAGCAGTTAGAAAGTCAGTTATAGAGCAAGAAGAATAAAAACAGTATTGATTTTCTAACAGTAAATTATTTGACTCAAGATAGGATATTAGAAATTTGTTGATCAAAGACTCAAAGACCTTTCTAATAATAAAGAGAATACTGATTAGACTATAGTTGGAGGGGTCAGCATGTTCTCCCAAGTTTTTGAAAATTGGAACAGCAAATGACATATTCTAGCAGACAGGAAAACAAGATTCAGTCAAGAACTTTTTAAGTAGTTTAGAGAGAATTGAAGAGAGTTCTAGAGATCACTTTTAAGTAAGACTATGACAATCAGGTGTCTGGATCTCAAGCAAAAAGTCTTTATAGCCTAATTTCTAAGATAAGATATGAAATTTATTAAACTAGGAATATTGGAGCTTAGCATCAGAGAGCAAGTTTCACTTTGATTTTGTGCAATAATAAATAGGCGTTTGTCCTCAACAGCGGTTTAGATATTAGATTTACCAGCTTCAAAACAATAAAGAGTAAAGTAAAGAAAAAAGGTGATAAAATGAAAAGGTGCTGAGCAAAAGCACAAAAAAAATTGGTTAGAGGATTCAAACCTGATTTCTTAACTTATAGGTTAATTAAGGTGTAAATATATGCCCTCCAATATGACTATTGGAGTTTTTTGCAAATCAGAGGATAGTATTCATCAATACTTAAATTTTAAGGAGGAAGCGTCAAATTTAAATTAGCCTTACAAAGAATTTATTTGGTATTTTTGATTACTTTTTAGGTTTACATCTAACAAATTACTAGAGATTAAGGTAAGCATAAGTTTTATAGTTGCAGTCAGCAAACATGTTAAAGTAATTTACAGGTGAGTGAACCAGAAATTCAGATAAAACACAAATATACATAAAATAAGTTATTGATGTGTAAACATAGCACTAGAAGTTCAATCAGAACATTAACATAAAATAGTAACTTTTGGGTGAGTGAAAACCGCACCAGAGGTTCAGATAGAATACAAACTTACATATTGTAACTTACGGGTGAATAAACATGTATAAAGTTAAAAACTTTATACATTTGTTCACCCGTAAACTTCTAAATAAATTTCACCTGTTTAAAGTTGTTACTCAACTTTAGAAAATTAAAATTGAATCATCAGCAATTAGAGCACACAGTTTGAAAGTTCTGAAAGTAATATTAACAAAATACCTCAAAAAAGTTATATAGAAGGTAATTCTAGACACATGTAGATGATGGTTGTAAATGATTTTGAAATCTTAAGAATTCACTTTTAGTTTTTTTCCACTTTTTTTTTTTAGTTTTTGCCTATGATAAGTTTTTCATCAAAACTTCATAAAAAATTAACAAAATAATAAAAAATAAGTAACAAATGACTTTTTGCAAAACTTTTTTATTCTATGCAAACATTTTACGTTTTTACGAGATATTCATGTTTTACAACATGATAGTAAAAACAAAACTCTGTTAATTTATTTTAAAATTTGTTTTCAACAGAAATTTTTTCAAGCAGGTCAAAAACTCGATGACCATTTTATAGTGAAAAGTATTTAGTTCAGTGAAAGCAATACCACAAGTCAAGTTGTTCATTGTTGTTATCTCAACAAGCTCAGTGAAACATTCATGTGAGCATAAAAAATTTCTGACTCTTTTGTTGTGAAACTTGAAATATATGGAAGAGGACAAGTCTTTAATGTTTGTTTTATCCTCACTGTGGGTCATAATGAGGATGAGTTTTAAAACCCACTTAAGAAAACCGTCAGAATGAAAGCACCTACATCATCAAAAGCTACAGGAGTCAAGCAACAAGTACTGGTTGCATTTTCTTAAGAACTTCAGAGACCTATGCAAATGTCAAGTCTATTCTTGATCTTGTCAAGTTTTAAGAAGTGTGTGCCAAAGTTTTACTGGTTATCTCGTGATATGAAACTTAATAATCTCAAGAGACACCAAATGTAGCAAGCTTATAGAGAGCAATAGCACTTGTCTTGCTTCCCCTAATAGAATCTTTTGGTTAGAGCAGTTAGCAAGTCACCTATAAAATAAGAAGATTGAAAACCATTTTCATTGTCAGAGAGTAAGTTATTAGATTCAAGATAAGATGTTAGAAATTTATTGATTAAAGACCTTGCTAACAATAGAAAGATGACTGATCAAAGAGTTGTGGGGTCAGAGTGTTCTCCAGAATATTGTTTAAATTGGAATGCTATTTTCCAGAAGACAGAAAAGAAAGTTTTAGTCAAGCACTTGTTTAATAATCTAGAGAGACTTAAAAAAAGTTCTGGAGAAAAGTAATGTCCACAAGCTGTTAAAGAGTTTAGTTGTTTTTAGCAACAAAAGCTTGGTAAGAAGATTGGTAATAACTGGTTTGGTATAGATAACTGGAATAGAAAAAAGATATATATTATTGGGTATTAGGCTCAAGAGTAAAATTAGTTTCTTTCAAATGTTTCTGATGTATCCTTGGAAAGGGTATAAAATAAGACCAATTAATTAGAGATGAAATGTTTAATACACCTTAATAATAAAAAAGCGCTTGTTTTCAAGAATGCTTTTTTTAAAAAAAAAGATAAATAACATGATTACAATATAAAAGATGCTGCATAAGAAGGTGAAAACCATAGATTTGATTGAGGCTTGATGCTTGACTAAAATGGTTAGTCATCAAACCAATGACAAAAAATAAAAACTTACATCCCTGCCTGGAACCAGGAGGTTACATAAGAGGCATATTTATTAGTGGACAGACATAAGACATTAACCCAAGGACTGTCACCAAAAAAATCACGAGAAAAGATTCTCAGCTAGCTTTAGGATAGTAATAAGCAGTGCAATGATAGGGTGAGTTTGAAGAAAAGGAATGAGATTTAAAAGATTTATAAAGATCATTGCTTGGTTGCAACTATCTAAATAAGAACGAGGAGAATTTGAACATAAGCTATGGTAAGAGATAAGACAAATTCTTAGTAAATAAGCTATGATAAGAGACAAAACACAAATTCTTAGTAGCCATTAATACTTAGATCCGAAGAAGAATCAGGTGAACTTAAATTAGTCTCACAAAAAGAAAGTAAGTCTGGCGAGTTTTGCCAGAGGTAAGATATAACTGATGGAAAGTTATATTGAAAAAATTATGTATGGTGGTGGTTTTTTCTGTTTGAAATAATGACATCAGCTTCTCAGAGTGCTATTACAAAGTTTAAGAAACCTTACTACCAGCCGGCATCAGAACCATTAAACTGAGTTTTAGAGGTGTTTTAGAGCCTTATTAGGAGATATTAGGAAGAGTTGCATCGCCTCTATCAAGGAGACATATGTACAAATCTAGTAGAGTTAAGTAGTACCAGCAATCCTTATCCTAGGCAGGAAACAATTTAATATAGGTTTACATCTATGCCACCCTAATAGTTGAAGAAAGGGTGGTAGGTCAACAGAATTTTTTGGCTTACCCTAAAGTTTTTGCCTAGGTCTTCTACAATAGAGATGAATACAGTTAACCTACCCATAATGAGTGTTTTTATAACCAACCATGAGCCCCAAAGCAGAGCAGTTTTAAATGAGGTTTTGCTTTTCCTATTTTTTGCTAGAAAAGCAAAACCTACAAGGCAACAGAGCATGGGTCAGGTAGTACTGAGTGATCTATGGAAGACCTCTTCAGGACAGCCCTGCTTATAGGTGAGCTAGTAAGACACCTCCAACTATGTAACAGACAAAAATAGGTACCACTATAGACATGATAGATATTAGAAAACAATAATAATAACAGAAAATACACTTCTTCTAGCTGGATTAAATGTTACCAGTTATAGGGTAATCATGATGACAGTAAGGCACTGAACTGACACTGACAACTAGGGATGAACAAATTTTCCCAATTTTTCCAATACCCATACTAGTTTAATTTTCATAAATTTTATGAGAATCAACGTCTGAGCTAATTATATATTCCCATGAAAAAACAAAATTATGGCCTTTTTGATACACTTTTTATACTTTTTATACTTATTTTTATATACTTTTTTTTACATACTTTTTATACTTTTTTTTTTTTACTGAATAATTAAAATGTTTTTTTTTATTTATAAAGACTTTTTGTGATTACTTTTTTAAAAAGTTATTAAATTAAAAAGTGAAATTTATAAATTATATTCTTTTATAGATGATAAAAACATTTTCACAATTTTAATTTATCACAGTTAATTTATGGTGTATTGTGAAGCAAAAATATGTAAATTTTTACTTTATTTTAGTTTTTAATTAAAATTTCATTCAGTTAATTTATTTGTTATTTGTAAGGGTTTAGAATTTAAGTTAAATTTTGTAAAAGTTACATCTGGTTTTTATACTTTTGTAAATGAAAAACATTTTTAAGCCTTTTTCTTTTAATGTTTTTAAAAATTTGCTTTCAAGTCTGTCAGATAATATTGAGTAATGTCAAATAGATTTAAGAAAATAATACTTCTAATTTTTTTTTTTTTTTAATAGACATTTACTATTGATGAATTTACAGATTTATCCAACATTTAATGAACCTTTAAATGCTGATATGCAATTTGAGTTTTTTTTACCCCCATACTTAAGTTTCACTTCTGCAAGTCTAATACAGAGTTTCGTTAAAGCAGATGGCAATAGAATAAAATACTATGTAAGACATTTTTATATTTTATTTTTAAATGATGTAGTTCACTAAACAATTTTGAACCTTTTTTTTATCAATTTTTAAATTGATTTTTTTAAACCATTAGACTATGTCAGATTGTAACTTTAAGAAACTCTTTTTAAATTTTTAAAATTTTTTTAAATGATTTTTATAAATTCATAAAATTCTAATTTAATTTAATTTAAACAAGCTAAATATTTTGTTGAATTTTAAAAACTATTGATAGATAATCTAATAATTGACAGTAATTATTTAAAATCCATTACCATAAACATTTCACCCCTATTTTTTGCTGTATTACATTATACTTGACAAACTCAAACCTGTCAGTCAGTATATGTACTTAATCAGTTTTGTTTTCAGTTAAAGGTTTTCATAATTGGTATTTAATTTGTTCTTTTGCAGAAGCTGACGTTATAAAAATTTAGTTGGTAGGAGCAAATGAGAATGTGTAATAATGGTTAGGGCAGTAGAAAATGGTGACAAACAAATAGTGGCATTCATAAAAGCAAATTTAAATCAAATTACTATATTACTGAGTAAATTTATTTGTTTAGAAAATTATGATCTACTGAAAAATATATTTTTTTAAATTATGTTTTGTGTTCTGCTAACACCTATAAAACACAAGCATTTTTTATGAAATTAAACCCAACTTTTTTAGTATAGTACAAATATATTAGTCAACTTCATGTGAAAAAGATTGTTCTGGAAGTTGGTAATTTTTTTATTTAAAGTTTAGTAAATTTTGCTAGCATTGAAAAGATTCGAACTTTAAGTTTTTTGAAATATTCCTATGTGTCTGAAATGTTGAAATTTTTTTTATTTTAATTGATTGATTTTTAGACATCAGTAGGTTTTAAATATGATAGTTGCCTATTTATAAAACTGTAATAAGGTATTGCCAATATGGTCCTTGCCATTTAAAAAATGTGTCAGCAAGAAAGTTTTGGAACAGTTGTTCATCTTTAAAATTTATAGCATAATAATGCAAAAAAATAATTGCTTTTATATTTATATTTACCACTTGGGATCTGTAGTTTCTAAAATGTTTTTAGTTCATATTAAACTTTTTAAACAAGTATTTTGAAAATTGAGATTTAAAAATTACTGAGTGATATTTTTTTTTACTAGGCTTCTTTACTGCTGTAAAAAATAAAGAACAAACCACTTTTGCATGTTTCACTCAAAAGAAATTTGTAAAGTGAAATGTGAAGTAGATCAAAATCCTCATGCAGTATTTTATCTATTTATGTTATTGATGTTAAATATAGCCTGAGTATTACAATACTCAAGCTGTATTTAAAATCATGAAGATAAAATCATAAAAATCTAAAAACCAAAAATAAATATTAATGATTACTTTTGTTTTTAAAATTTTTATTTTGCATAGATTAAAACAAATTTATAATTACTAGTTTTTCAAAATAATAACTGACATTTTAGGGAGAAGAATAAACGTTATAACTTACCTATCAATCATAAATTTGATATGTTTATATTATTTTAAAATACATGATTAACTGAGATTAAGTTAACATGCTAACTGAGTATAAGTAAGATAAGTATTACATTAAGGATAATGCTTACTCTACATGTGACTGTAACTTTAGGTGTAGCTTTTAGGTTTTAGTAAGTTTAACCTATAAAACTGTTGATCTTTATAGTTTTTGTAGATTTTGTAGTTTATGTTTGTAATCCTTAAAAAATGATATTAATAACGAAAGATTTTGATGGCATTTTAGATAAATTTGAAAATATGAAGGTTAGGAGAAATTAAACTTGTTTAAAAGATAAAGTATCTACATTGAGTTTCTTTAGTGTTTTTTATTCAAAAAAATGATAATAATATTTTGAATATTTCTCAATACATTAATGATATGTTAGTTATACACTTTTATTTTGATAGTGTAACTATGCCAGTAATTGTTAAAATATGATGCAAAATGTATAAATAAAACTTGTTTAATTTTTACATTTAAGAATAATATTACCAAACCCACAACTGAATAGCACCAGTGTATGATAGTACATCTTCGAGAGTTATTTTTTATATTTTTTCCGTTGGTGGCTAGTGAATTAACAATGCACTAATTATAATATTATTAGATTTATTTATTATTAATAATAAAATTATAAGTAAAATTTATTTTTTTAAATTGTTATTGGCCCTTTGGAGTATGCTTATCATTATTCTAGTTGATGTTGGTAGAACTTTTGAAACCATATTTGAGGACTTTTATTTATCTTCATAAGTAAAATTTATGTTTTATGATGTCTTTTTATATTATTTTTCTATTTTGAAATTTATGATGATTCCTTATTAAAGTAATGTTAAGTTTCATTTTAACAGTTTGCATATTTAATAATGTTATATTATGCATGATTTTAAAATTGATAAATCATAAACAGTTTGTTAAAAGGCCTTAAGTTAGAAAACAAAAAAATTTTTTAGGAAAAAAACACCTCTTAAATAATCTTAAAACCTTTAAAAATTTAAAAAATTTTTCTAAGAACACCTAAAATATTTTTAAAAATATTTTCCTAATTAATTTTTCTGAAGATATAAAAAAAAGTCAGCAAATTTAAATTTTAGCTCTTTATATTTTTTCATAATGAAATATTTCTGTGTGTGACAAAGTTTTTGGGAATCAATTTTTCAAGTATGAGATAATTATTTGTTTCCCCAATGCTAAATGAAATTAATAAAATCTTTAAAAAAAAAATCAAACAGTCGTAGAACTTGGTGTCCTTAAATTAGTGACTTTTACAAGTTGTTGATTATGATTATGGTAATGATGCTGATAATGATAATGATGTAATAATGATGATGATGATGATGATGATGATGATGATGATGATGATGATGATGATGATGATGATGATGATGATGATGATGATGATGATGATGATGATGATGATGATGATGATGATGATGATGATGATGATGATGATGATGATGATGATGATGATGATAGATTGTTATAATCTAAGCCGAAGTAAGTGTTTTAATGGTTTATTAAATAAAGTCATTTTCATTACAAATTTTTATTTATTTTGCCTTTTGCTATTGATTTGTAAACAATTTTATTTAATTTTAGATTTGTTTGACTTGTTTTATTTTAGATTGTTTTGTTTATTTTTTTTATTGCTTTTTATTATTTATTATTGGTTGCAATAATATAGTTGGTATTGGTTGATTAACCAATAGTATTGGTTGCAACTTATAATTTTATGCCAACTTTTAAATTTTTAATGCAAAGTTTTAAATCGATTGTATTAATTTTTTATTTTATTTTTTTTTAGTTTACTGGATTAATTAATTCTTCTGAAACATTCGATTACAACTTTACTGCTTTATTCAATGATACAAAATGCCCTTTACCTGGTATTTTTACATTAAATATTCCTTTGAAGATATCAATTCAAGTGGAATTAGATAAACCCAGAGTATTCTTTAAAGCATTCAGAAAAGTTGTTGAGTGCTTTGGGTATCCATATATTCCAATTTTCAAAGACCAACTAATTCTTAAAGGTAAAAAAAAAACTTCTAAAGCAGTTAATATTTTTATTTTTATTTTTTTTTTCAATATTTTGAGTAAATTGCTTTTACTTTAAGTGTGATATTAAAGTAAAAAAAAAAAAAAAAAAACAGAAAAAATCTAATCTAAATAATTTATTTCAGAATAAAATTAATGTGATTAATATTTATAAAATTAATATTCAGAATAAAATTATTTTAATTATTAGTAAAATCTTAGTAAAATTTAAACTTACTTCAAAAATTTTAAGTGTGTTTTTTATTTTTTTATTCTTTTTATTTTTATATTTTAAGTGTTTTTATTTTTTAAATGTTCTTTATGTTATGTTTTTAAAAAAATTGTATATTTTATTTTCATGTATATGATTTTCTATTTCAAAATATGCTTTGTCTAATTATAGCTATAGTTGCCTAATTATATTTATAGGTTTTTTCAAAATAAATAAATAAACCTTTCTTGTAATTTCATATTTAGAAAGCTATGGCCGTGGTATTTATTGGGATGCAAAAAATTTAAATATTTATGTCTGCATGAATCAACATTTTCCTAGGTATGCAAATATAAGTTATAATATTATTGTTGTTAGTCAGAGCATATTTATTAACATTGACAACATGTTAATAAATATAATAACTTTTTTTAGCAGAAATCGAATCCAAAAGCAAGTAGATTGTAGTTCTTATGCTTTGTACAGTTTTTTTTTTGGGGTTCATCAAGGTCTAGTGAACTAAAAATAATTTTTTCAACTTTTCCACATTTTTGCTTTAATTAGGAACATCTGTAATTATTTTAATTATATTTTTTTATTATTGTAATTATTTTTTGATTATTAGTTTTCAACCAACTAAAAAGCCAGCAATAGATGTTTAGCTATAGTATTCTTTATTTTAACAGCTTCACCTGTTAACACCATTTTGTTATGTTTTCTTGAAACTATTTATATAGTGAAAACTTATTCAAATCTCCATTGCCTGCATATATGATACTTCTGATTATAGTTACCTGACCTGTTGTAGAAATTTTGCATCTTTTTGAAACAGTTTATGTTAATTTTACTATATCTTTTGCACAGCTAAAAAATTGGTAATCTTTTTCTGCTTCTTTTTTTTTCAAGATATATTCTTTTTCTACTTGTAGAATTTGATTTTTAGACTTTAAGAAACTGCATTTCTAAAAGTCTAAAAATCAAATTCTACAATTTCAGAATTCGTAAGTTTTTTCAGTCTACTTTTTTTTTTATACAATTTTCATTGTTTTTATTTGTTTGGTTCATTGATCATTTTTGCGGTCCTTTCTGATCATCCAAAAATAAACAGTTTTCTCTAAAATTTGTTTTCTATTTCATTATTATGCCATTAACATCTAAAGAAGAAATGTCAAAAAGATTCAGTATTTCTTTTCGAAATTTGTGAAATTCCCAAAATTTAAGAAACAGGTGATTTTTTTCATATCCGGTAGATACTTTATGGTTGCTTGTAATCTGATCCTACGATTATTCTATGCCAGTATGTTATTTTTATTTGATATTGTAAGAACTTAAAGTAAGCTACTAACATTTTATGATATTTATAGTTTCTCAAAACTAGAAATTACAAGTACTATTTATACTTAATTTGTTTATGACAAAATAATTGAAGCCTTTTCCCATATGTTAATTTTTTTACACTTAAATGTAACAAATTCAGTGGCTGTTGCTGACATCCACCAATTTTATTATATTTAAAAGTAAAAAAAAGATTCCAAAGGGGGCAGTAACCACATCCTGAAGTCTAACAGATTTAGAAATTAGAGTCAAAAAGTATTTTCTATAATATTGATATCCAAGTTTTTTAGTCTTCTTCTTTAGTTGTCAGCTTATTATCAGCTTTTTGATGTTTTTTCATCAGAAAAACATTTTTTGAATTTGTTTGAGACATAACTATATATAATTTTCCTTTGTGTAGACTAATTTAAATGTATACAATTTATGCAATGTGAAAAAAAAAAATTTTCTTTATGTTTACAATGTCCCCAGAAATTTGAAATAAAATCATGCATGAACAAAACCTTGGATTAGATAAATGGTAAAACCTGTAATAAACCTGTTTATTACAAGTTTTCATTGCGTGACATTTCCTTAGTGATATTTAACATATGTATATATATTTTTATAAATAAAATACAGTAGTATATATATATATATATATATATATATATATATATATATATATATATATATATATATATATATATATATATATATATATATATATATATATATATACACACATTATTGTGCATAATTATTCAAATGACATTAATTTTAAAAAAATACTTTAGTTTAACAATTTTTTAATGTTTATTTTTGTATTTTTTTTACGTATTATAAGATTTAAAAAACAAAATTTAATTTTAATAATTTTTTTTTAATGAATAAGACTAAAATGCTTTAATAGAAATCATTAAAGTAACAAAAAAATTTTGAATGTAGTTTTGCTTATCTTAATTTTTTAATTTAGATGGGTAAAATAATATTAAAACAAATGATGAGCAAAATAAATGGTAAAAACCTGATATAAAATAAAGATTTAATTTAGTTTAAATTTTTGGTTTCAAAAGAAATTGTTTATCTAAAATAATACTGTTGAACCTATGATAAAACAGTGTGTATAATTGACTGTAAAACATGGTGGATGTTGTGTTAAGGTGTGGGGCTGTTATGGTTGGAATGCCACATGTGGCATTTTAAAAATAGATAAAAATAGAGAGAATAATGACAAAAGTAGTTTACTTGGAAATTTTTAAAAAGTCATGCTATACCTTCGGAAAGTTTGGTTAAACGGAAGCTGTTAATTTTTTTAGGAAAAAATGATCCAAACCTTAAATCCAAAACATATTCTTCAAAACATGTTATAAGTTGTTTGATTGAGTTAGAGAATGATCAAATATTGAATAGAATGATTTAGCCTCCCCAATCACCATATTTCTCTCCTATTAGACTTTAATATGATGATTTTAAAATAATACTGAAAATTAATGCCTAATAATGCAAAAAAAATCTCTGCACATGAAAGCACAAAGAACCTTGAAGTAGAATAGAGCTTTTTTATGCAACTCACTGATAAGTAAGTTGCATAAAATTGAATTCGACAAATTGGATAATTTATTAAGTAGAATGCCAAAAATATGAAAAGGGGTTATTGTTGCTAAGGGTGATTAAATAGGCAAGTAAATTATAATCTAATGATATTTTCTATTAATTTTTTATGTAAACATATTAAATAGGAAGATAACATATAATTTAGGTAGATTTTGTTTTCAGTTTTTCTTCCAATAGTAAATACTTTGATATCTTATATTGAAAAGTATGAGCATTTGAATAGTTATTGACAGTAGTGTATCTATATACTTTTATTGTAGTAAAAGATACCAGAAATCAAATAAAGATCTTTAAAAATCAAAAAAGTGTTTTAAGAAATAGTTTATTACATACTAATTAGTGGGGGTTAATTAGTATATAATAAATGTATTTTTTGCTTTAGTGCAAAAGTAGCATGCTATGTTTCAAATGATGAGGGAGGTTTGTGGTATGGTAAGTTCAGTTTTATTTTAGTAAATTATAATTAGAGTTATTTTTTTCAAACGAATCTACTATATTGTAATATATTGCAATATTACATTGCCATAGTTTATTGCAACTATTTCTTGACTGTTTTGAGGTTAGATTTTTTTGTTTTCTTTCTTGTAGTTGCAACTGACTTCTTATTCTGACTTTAAATTATAGATATAATTTTTAATTGAAATATGTTGAGTACACATATTTTCATAGAATGTCATTTATGTCTAAATTTTTCATTCAACCTTTAATAATGGTAACTTTTTAAAGTTATTGTAAAAAAAATGTGGTTGTGCTTAAATAATTTGTAATTATAAATAATAATTTATAATTTTATTGCTTCTGTTATTGGTTACTTTTATTGGTCACTTTTTTTTTTCTTTTTTATTATTATTTTATTGCTTACAGGCAATTTTTATACTTTTTGTGGTTATAATAATAAATAATAATTTTTTTTTTCAAAACTACTAATTTTTAACTTTTTTGTTTTTTTTAAATGAAATCGAAAAATGAAAACAAAGTTTGCATCCATTATTTAAAAAAAAAAAATTTATAAAATTTATAAAATCTCATATTTTTTAAACTTCATGTGTTTAATAATCTTGCTAGCGTCTACCTTGGATCAGTCAGACTTTTACAAGTTGGACAAATTTTCAATTTTTATTTAACTCTCTCTATCAACTTATTATATAATCACTTGTTAAATCAGATCTTGGTTAGTCGGACCTGTTATTTTGGGTCCCTTTAACATAAAATTTTACTTAATTTGGACTTCTATTATGAATTGCATATAAGTGCATATAATACAACAATAAAATATTTAAAAAATTCAAACTTTGAACGCTTAAAAATAAACAAATTCCATTAAATATAAAATATATAATTTAACAAACTAAACATTTTCACAGATTTTTTTTTGATTAAGCTTTGAATAAATTAAATTCTAAAAGAAAGCTAAAAACAAGAACTATAGCAGAAAAACACAAAACACTAAAAATTGACAAAAAAAATTCATATAAGAGAATCCTCTGTATCTATAACAAAAAAGTATGGTGTCTTAAAGCAAACATTGTCCGGATGGATAGAAGGAACAAAAAAAATGTATATAAAAGTTGAAAAAAACAGAACATCTGCAAAAAGAGTGAGGGTGCAAGTCTCTTTAAATAAAGATTAAATTAAAGCATTTTATATGTGTCTTTTATATGCGTGACACTATAACACTCCTGTCTCTGCAACCAAAGTCAAAGCTTTGCATTTTGTAAAAGAACTTGGACGTTACTACCTTTAAGCATATGATGCTTGGTTAGATAAATTTAAAAAAAGAAACAATGTTTTGTTTAAAACAATATCAGGCATTTTATCATACATTGATAATTACATATTTTTAAAAGCCGTAAAACTGTTGCATTGCAAATAAATTTCTGTTGATATTAAAATTGCTTTTTTACTTTATTATAACTGGCCTAATATTCATATTTGTCTCTTTAACCACAAAATATCTACATAATCAATGGAATCTGTAGTATACATCTTATATTAAAGGTGGAGATACATCCTCAAATAATGTTGTTAGCAAATCTCAATCATAGCAATTCATATAACACTAGTATTGATAAAAAAGATAGGCCATGTTCAAAAGCGTATGGGAACACGGTTGTGGAACTCATGTTAACTAATAAAACTAAATATACTATCTGATAGGGGGGAAAAAATGGTAAAGTACGATTAACAGATAAAGCTATATATTTTTTGCAGAACTATTGTGATACTGCAATAAGGTAAAATATAGGACATTTTTTTCATATAAAATTGTTGCTTGCTTTATTACTATTTTGTGTTTGTTCATGCAAGCATTTGGATAATAATTCATCACTGTTGAAATCTTAAAAAAATCTTCTTTTTATTAATTTTCTATTTTTGCTAATGAGAGAGTCAATTTTCTATTTTTGATAATGGGAGAGTCATTTACTTTTAGGTGAAAGTCAAAATGTTATCAATGAAATGAAAGCTTTTTGGATTAAAACCAATATTGTCTAATTGCCAATATTGTCTAGTTGACAACAATATTGTCTAATTAACACTCCTGTGAAATATGCAGTTCTGTTTAGTATGGCTTATTTTACGACTTCCAAAAAAAATGTGTACATTTGATAGATGAGAAATGTAGTGAGCAAGAATTTTCTTTTATGTTATTGGAAAATCAAATAAACCTTGTTGTTGTAATGAAGTTAGAAGCACTCCATGCTATTACCGTGCTCAAAATAGAAGCTGGATTGACTTCAAAATTATTAAAGAGTGAATCAGAGAATGTGACTGCAAGTTTTTTTATAGAAGGTAGCATTGGTTATTGGTAATTTCATTGCCCATGCCAATATTGAGTATTGATCTTAATCAAAATCACTCTACTTTCTTCCCCCAATTAGAACTTCATGTTTTCATTTAATATTTCTATTGATTAAGGAGTCATGGATAGTACCGAAGTGCTTGTATCAAACTCATTTAATTAACTTGATCATAAATGCTATTATGAACACAAACAAATGTATTCTTTCTCTATACATGATGCCATAAAATGCTTGTTCATTCTAAGAAAGAAGTTTAAGAAATCACTATTATTAATTATTTCCGCAAGTCAAGATTTAAAGAAAGAGTACCAGACATAGATCGTGAATACATCTTGGCATTAAAGTGTTTATTCAAACCAATCAAGTCAGCATTAAGAGGATCTCATTCCAAATGGTGTTACTTATAAAAATATGTTAAGGATTGATGACGATGTTTTGGTAATGATAAGTGTAATGTTAGATAAAAGTAGTTGATGATAAAATGCAAAAAGTAGAAGAAAGAAATGAACTAACTAATGAACCAGTGATACCATTATTTTATTTTATTTTTTCAATATCTACTCAAAGTGGTTAAACTAGAAGAGTAGGTTTAAATGTTTCAAAGCTGTTTGAAAAATGTTTGAAAAAGAATTCTTGGAGTGATTATAATAAACATCAGTTTCAGATTTATTTTACACATAATATATATAGTGCTAAAATAAAATATAAACACATAAAATTCTATAGTTCTATATATATGTACATAAAATTTAAGTATTGAACAACGTTTGATAAGTTTCAAAATTTTGACAAGTTTGCATACTCAGAGCTTTGCTTAATTCACCGAGACTATAATCGTACAAGATTATAAACATTTACCAAGACTATAATTATACAATGAATATGTTTTCATTGATATTCTAAATTAATGGTGTTCTACTGTATTACTAATGTTCTAGAAAGTTATCTTGTTAAATTATTTTAGTTATCTTGTTAAATTATTTTAGTTATCTTGTTAAATTATTTTATAATTATAGGAATAATTTTTGCATTTATAAACGTGATCCTTTAATAAAAAGTTTATTACGTGAATTGATTGCTTAAGTTAAGATGCTAATTTTAGAATTAGATGTACGTGTTGGTTCGGTTCTTGGTCACCACTTGTTAACCAATGAACTGTATGCAATCCATCGTAATCAAAAAACGTATATGATGTTTCACAACATCCATAAGAAATGGTTATCAATAACCAAGCAACAATTTATGGACACAGCATCCAGTTTTATTGATCCATCAATGCGAAAAAATTTGGAAGGAGAATATAATCAAGCTTACACATTAGGACCAAATAAATGGTTAGGTAAATTTGTTAATTTTTTGTTTTGTTTTTTATTACTTTTTATACCGAAGTTTTTATAATATATATTAAGCTACTACCAAAGTATTTTTTTTTTCCTTAAATCATATTGGCTGACTTTGAGATTTGTTCTATATATAACTGTAAGACTAAGCTAAATATTTTAAGTCAATCAGAATAAAGATAAATTTTTGGAACAATTTTAAAATTTTTAGGCTTTTAGTATATAGTCATGCTTTTCTTAAATAATTCAATTGATTTTCGATACCATAAACTGTAGTTACTGTCAATAATTATTAAAATTATCCAAAGTAACCTCATCATTATAATTTTTTGTGAACAAAGGCACCTGTTTAAAAAAGATACAAGAAAAAAATAAAAAATATATATATATATATATTTTTGTTGCTATATGTATTAAGTATAAAGTCAGATTACTTTTAAATAAACCTATTTTTTTTTTTTTTGCTATAGTATTTAGCAAAGATAAAGCTGTGTTATATAACTTGACTTTTATTAATTTTTTTTTGCCTTAATACAAGTTTTACGGACCTTCAGAACAATAGATTTTTAAAAAGTTTTTAAGCTATTCTCTAATTAGATGAAATGAAAAAAGAAGTTAGAAGTTTAATGTCAGTTATTTCTAAAACGTTATTTTTATTTTACTGTGAACAAGTTTTGTTCGTTTTCCTGAAAGATTATTATTAAAAATAATTTCAAAAAAACAAATTAACTGTTAAAGAATTTTGCGAAACTACTTGATCATCATCTACAACAATTTCTAAACAAGTCAGTTAGTCGACATTTTTTCGGGTTCTCAAACGTTACAGGAAGTTTTTGTTATCAATCGCAAATCAAGTCTTGAAAAAAGAAGGGTTTGAGAATAAAAAGTTCGTCTCGAAATTTCGTCGTTCATACTTGCAGAATGCAGGATTATCTGACTATGAATGACCAAATAGATAAAATACAACATGTTCTTTTGTGCAAAAAGTCAATAATTTTTACGGTATCCACACTTATCCCAAAATAAAATATCTAAACCTTAATAATAAACAGCAAAAATTTTTCAAAACTCTAGCAAGAAAACAGTACGACAAATTCTGATAAAGTTCGATGGCTGCCCAATTCTTGATGATGAAACTTTAATGAAATATAAAATTAGACTTTAGACACAGATTTTATGCTGGCATTAAGCGTGGAACTGTCAGCAATAAATACAAAGCTGGATATGTTTGGCAAGAAATGTTTAATATGGGAAGCAATTTGTAGCTGTGGCAAAAAATGCAATCCATTTGTAATCTCAAAGTTGATGAATGCCGAACTCTACAAGAAAGAGTGTCTGAAAAAACATCTTCTATCTTTTATAAAATCTTATAATGTTTCTGTAAGGTTTTGGCGAGTCAATATTTTCGTGGCTATGCTTTTTACAATTTAAAACTTCATGTCACGTACTTGTTATTTTACATATAAAAATGGCACTTTAATTGCTTTTCCTCAAAATTATAAAACTCTGAAATTTTTTTAAATGAATTTTATTAATCAATTTTATTAAATATAAAAAGAACGTTTTCCAAAGAGAGCCAAATGTTGGCTTGGTACTGAGCTTAATATAGAGAAGGTAGAATTTGGTCGTAAGTTAATATATGCACGATGTTAATGTATATCATTTTGTTACCCCCACCTGGTATGAGTATGTCATAGTGTAATTGAAGTGTGGTCGCAGTGTAATGTTGTATTTACTTAAACTCCATCTTATAAATGTGTGACCTGCTCTCTATACTATGTTAATGTTATAAATTTCATCCGGCTTGTCAGAATCCCTTAGAATATTCAAAGCGACTATAGTCTGTATTTTATTAAGTAAATTATTTTCAATAAAAGTTTAATATTTCTAAATTAACTTTCCAATTTATTATCTTTTATATATATAATTTATTAGGAAACGCACAAGGTTTATTTTTTCTTCACAAAAATGGTACCTGGATATTGCGAATACGGTGGCGTTTTTGAAGATTGGTTTTTATGCCGACAAAAGTTTATACATATATCGAATCGAATATTAATGAAACAGGAGTCGTGTTTTGCCATTTTGATAAGCGTTATTTTAACTTATAAATCTGTCTTTCTTTAGAATTTTTATTATAACATAATATTTTATATATATATATATATATATATATATATATATATATATATATATATATATATATATATATATATATATACATATATATATGTATGTGTGTGTGTGTATATATGTGTATATATATATATATATATATATACATATATATATATATATATATATATATATATATATATATATATATATATATATATATATATATATATATTTATATTTATATATACATATATGTAGATGTAAATTAAAAATTGTTTTATAATTTTTTTGTTTCTTTTAAATGTATTGTTTTTTTTTAAATGTATGTATTTTAATTTTTTAGTTTCTTTTAAATGTATTGATATAATTTAAAGGAAGAAAAATGTTTATAGAAGATTTATATTTATTGAAAAGTATTTTATATGTATGTCAATACTGTTACGACAGAAACGCTTTTTTAAAAAATTTATTAGCTTTAGTATTAAAAATATTAGTAAAGATTTTTTTTTTTAATTCGTAAAGTTCAAAACCTATAATTTTAAAAATATTTAAACAGAACTTTTTATAAATGTTACAAAATACTTTTAAGTACCTGTATAATAACTTTTTGTAATGGGAAAAGTATATTTATTTATTTTGCTGCTGTTCTAATCTTCATGATGTTCTAACCTTCATAATGTTAAACTTATCTTCATAATGCCAATATAAGTATATAGACCATTAAGTATACAGAACATAAGTATTAAGATAATTAAATTTTTTGTGTTAGTAGCTTAATTCAAAATTACAAAAAAACAACAAATTCAAGTATTTTAAGTGATACTATAAGCATTTGCAATGGGTAATTCTAAGAACTGAATAAATCTTTCAACTAACTCTATAATAGGTTTTAAAATCTTCCTGTTTTCTTTTATCTCCTCTCTTAATTCACAAACTTTTGCAAAAACTGTTATGCCATTAGATATGGCGAAAAAAAAAGTGAGAAATAACTGCCTCATAGATTTTACATAAATTTTTGTTAATTCGTTATTCTCAATATTGGAGACACCTTTTTCAAGTTTTATGAAACTTTTTTGACAATTGTTTCAATTCAACTCAAATACGGTTAAATTAGCCGCATACTTATGATATTGCAACCGCAGCACGCTAGTCTCAGAAGCTAGAAATTCGTAGTTCAACGCCACCTCCGGGCAAGCTTTATAATATTAGTTAGGAAGAAGCGTGAACTTTCTTCCAAATGCTTTGTGATAAGACCATAAAGACTTTTTGGGGCACCTTAAATAAAAAATGCTAAATTTATATATTTTTTCAATTACGTAAAAATGAGGAAAATCAGTTTCAATGTTCTTTTTCTATAATTTTTAGTCGTTTCATCGGATTTCAGCAGAGGGAGTGAAACCACTGATAAAAACGGTTAATTCCATAAAACGTGTTTTTTTATATCAAACTTCAATTCTTTGATAGGTTTTGAGTTTCATTTAATAATCTAGTAACGCTCAAATATTTTGACCATATAAAATTTCCGCCCTAACCGAAATATAATCATTTTCATTAATTTTGAGCGCACTACGATATGAAAAAAATTTAAAGTTTATTTAATAAACTTAGTTTAGTTGTTTACTAGAACTATGATGGTGAATACAAGCCATATGATTGTGATTTTTAACTATTGAAAAAATTTATATAACTGAAATAAAAAATGGCAGTTGTAATCTAATGGTCAAAAAATTTGTGAAAAGAATTGTATGGTTTACCAAATTTTAAATTAAAAAAAGGTCACAAAACTTTTTGAAAATGTGCCAAATCTCAATAATTTTTTGTTTTAAACATTTCGTTATAAAATAAAAGGTTTATAAGATAAAAGTTAAAAATTAAATAATAATATTAAAATTACAAAAATAGATCATTAATAAGAAGTAAATGAATAAGAGGTTCGTCGAAAATTGTAAGGTCTTGTCGTCGAGAACCGCTTAAATAAACTTGTTAAATTCTTGTGGTAAATAGTTGTGATGTGCCGGGTACCCAGTAATTCGTCTGTTTTCTCGGGTACCCAGAATTGCCTTTTTGTTGCCGTACCCGGCACCAGGTATCTTTAAAGAATTTTTTAATAAACATTTACCTAAGTGCTGTGTCTATTTTTTTAAGTGGTACTTTAAAATGGGTTAAAATATTATTAAGGGGACTGCTTTTAGCTTAAACACTGTGGACCAGAGATGAGTTTAGGTTTAATGGAGTGTCACTCAAGTGAAACCGTTTTTATTTAAGAGTATTTTTACTATAACAATAAAAAAGAGATTTTTTAAAATCCGAATAAATTGCTAAGGGTCATAAATGGGGCAAAAGGGTAAACACAAGGGGGGCATAGGCCCATTTATTTGTGCTAGTTGCAAATTACAAAAAAAAAATCTTTTAAAAGATTTTTTTTTTGTAATTTGCATCAAGAGTATTTGTTTCATAAAAGTAGAAAATAGCGTTTTTAAAGTTGAAAAAAAATGCTAAGGGTCACAAATCATTTTACAATTTTAGGTGCCCGTTAAATTTTTCTTTTAAAAATAAATGTCAAATAAGTTAAACAAAATATTAAGAAACAGAAAAAATTAAAAATTTTCTAATATTACTGTAAATATTTTACATAATCCAACAAATTAATTGTTTTTGAGCAGTATGTCAAAGTTAATGATAAATTAAACTCTTCTTCCATTAAGACTTATTGCAAAGTTGATTCACGCATTGAGTATGCTTTTTTAAAAGTGTAACTTTAGTCTGTGTAGGTTTAAGTCTAAAACAAACTGTCCATACTGTTCGGAAAACTGACAATAAACTGTTCAGCAAACTTGGATGATGGGACTCTTGGTTCAATAGGAAAGAATATTTTAATAAAGAAACTAATAATATATTCTTATTCAAAAAAGTTTGAACAAAACAAGAGTTTTTTACTATTTTAATGTATTTTATACACTAAAATATAGGTCTATGCTGAGGAAACTAAGACTGTTTGAATACTAATTTCTGTCTATTCAAGACAGTTTGCTCAACAATGTGGAGAGTTTATTTTAAATTCAAACACACATGAAGAAGCTTTAAACCTAAAGAAATATTCTGATGTTACTTTTAATGGAAGAAGAGATTAATTTATCATTAAATTTGACAAACTGCTTAAGACCCGGAAGAACAATTATTCACTTTTTGTTGGATTATGTAAAATATTTACAGTAATATTATAAAATTTTAAATTTTTTTTGTAGCCTAATATTTTTTTTAACTTATTCGACATTTATTTTTAAAAGAAAAATTCAACGGGCACCTAAAATGGTACAATAGGTTTAGGTCCCTTAAATTTACCTTTTGCCACATATATATATATGTATATATATATATATATATATATATATATATATATATATATATATATATATATATATATATATATATATATATAAATATATATATATATATATATATATATATATATATATATATATATATATATATATATATATATATATATATATATATATATATATATATATATGTATATATATATATATATATATATATATATATATATATATGTATATATATATATATATATTTATATATATATAAAAATATAAATATATATATATATTTATATATATATATATATATATATATATATATATATATATATATATATATATATATATATATATATATATATATATATATATATATATATATATATTAATATATATATATATATATATATATATATATATATATATATATATTAATATATATATATATATATATATATATATATATATATATATATATATATATATATTCTAGACTGCTTCATTTTGAGGTCATGAAAAAATTTTAAATACCATGGAGTTTTATCTGCTGCGTTGACCCTTATTTTAGTAGTAGAATTTTTTTTTTTTAATTTTGACTACTTTTAGGGGTTGGTCAAGTGCCTCAAAAGTCATATTTTAGGCTTTTTTACCCTTTTTTAAGCCCATTTTTCGCACGTTTGAGCAAGTACTAAAACTCAATAAAATTGATTTTTTTTTTTTCTAGAGTTTTTTCTAAGTTAGAATAAAAAAATTAAAATGCATTTTATTTTATTGAAATAATTTGTGTAAACTTATCTACAAAAACGCAAAGTTATGCAATTGTTGCGCTTTGCGTTAATTTAAAAATGTTGCGTATTTACTTAAACATGTTATGCAAATTACTTTTTAACAAAAACGATATTTAATTTTGATTTAAAAATGCGGGAAATAAATATAGATTACTCTTATGATATACTTACTCCATATACTAATTAAAGCTATTTACTACCGGTTTATTCATGTCAGGGAAAAGTAAGAAAAAAGTTGACACACATTTTTTGGTAAGAGAATCCAGGTCATCCTTACCAAAAGACAAGTTTGCTACAAAGCATGAGGTTTTGCAATACTTCTTCCATTTGAAGGAGAAGTACCCAAAACAAAAAGAAAGTAGAATTATCCACTGCCCATTGACAAAAAACTTTGAAATCAGCTGCCATAATGAAAAACATATTTGCTGCACTCTTTCAAAGTTAATTTTACCTTGGTTGAAGGGTGGATTTCAGATTTTACAATTACAAACAATTAGGTAGGTACAGACTGTATATGTTTTTTTTATTTATATGTTATTACTTATTAGCGGAAAATATTAATATAACTAATGTCTGCTGTTAAATAAGTTAATAAACAGAAATAGGTGTGTTGTAAAATATACCGAACCTATAAATCACATTTTTTAGTATAAAGATAGAGAAGCTGATCCGAACCTGGAAACTGTTAAAAAAAAACAAAGCAAGACAAACTTTATCAGAGATTGAAAAAAGGAGGAGGTTTTTAACTCAGATGAAAAGTATCTTTTGGATTGCACCTGAGCTCGATACTCTGGTTGCAATCATTAAAGCTGATAGGAAACGAAAGGATCAAGACAAGACTGAAGATATTGCATTTTTATTAGACCAATTAGGAGATAGAAAAACTAGAATAGGTGGAATCGATACAAGGTACCTTTACTCTGTAAACAGGAGTTTATCCAAAATTAAACGGAAATCAAATTTGCATGAAACCATGTCAGAGAGTGAATTCAGCTCAAATGGATCGGAGAAAGATGAAGGTAATGATGATTTTTCATACCCAGATCCAGAGTTAAAGAAAAAAGTCAAAAAAACTAATACTGTTATGCTTCCAAAAGATATTCTCAAGAGAACTGCTGATACTGCTGTTGGGGAAGGAATAAGTCATAGGCAGCATGCTTCCATGATTAATAGTATAATCGCTAAATCGGGTGGAAATGTAGCTGAATTTAAATCTTCAACCTCTACAGCATTACGCGCTGCAGATAAGGTCATTCATGATGAATCAAAGAGGATCAAGGATGATTTAAGAATTTTAAGAAAAATCAATAAGAACATTTTAGTTCAACTCCATTTTGATGGAAAAGTATGTCATGAATATACTGATGGGAAAAAATTGGAACAAGATCGATTAGCAATATTAATAAACGCTAACAAGGAAACGCACCTGTTGGGAATTCCACCCATTTCTTCTGAAACTGGCGAAAATCAAAAAAATGCAATCAGAGATATCTTAAATAGCTTTAACCTTACAGACAATATACAAGCTGTAACATTTGATACTAGCAGAATCAACGCTGGAAAAAAAAATGGAGCTGTATCTTTACTGGTAAATGAAGTCTTTCAACGACCAGTTCTATCTATTGCATGCCGACATCATGTCAATGAGCTACACATAACACATTTTTGGAAAAATTATCAAAGTAGCATTACTTCTGGACCAGATAATCTCCTGTTTAAAACTTTAAAATCAGCATGGAATGATCTTGACGCAGACAACCAGGTAGGTTTTTACAAAATTAGCTACCATTTTGTGAAATATTATTTTTTCCAAATAATTTTCTTTTTCCAATTTTGAGTTCTTTGAATTTTTTTTTTTACGTTTTGAATAAATAAGGTTTTGAGAAGATTGACTATTCCAGAGGAAACATGGCTTGGTCATCAAAAGCATGAAAGCATAACGTTCTGCAGAAATATTTTCACCAGTGGGTCTCTAAAATAGGTAGCCAATAACTAGATATCTGAATTTGTAGGTATTTATGTAGTATGTACTTTTATGTTGAAATTTTTTTATAAATTTTTCTTTTTTAATTCTATTATTCTTTATTATACTAAATTATAAATAGGTTTATTTTATTATACCTAAATACTTATTATTTTATTTCATTTTTAAGATGGGGCTACAAGGAAGGACTACATTGAGCTGGCAGAGCTTACACTTATGGTGCTTTCTGAGGACAGGTACAAATTTCGTACGCCTGGAGCAGTCCACCATGCCCGCTTTATGGCAAAAGGTAAGGAATTGTAGGTTCATGATAAAAAAAGGTTCAAGTTGCAAAAAAAAGGAATTTGTTTTACATTATCAAATATTAGTCTTTTTAAAAAATTAAAAAAAAAAACTTTTTTTTATAGGTATCTACTACCTAAAACTCCAACTTATGATGGATGCTATACCTAGTCTGGAAAAATGGCTGAAGCATGAAATTACTAAAGTGGTAACTTTTGTCTCTGTTTTTTATACTACCTGGTTTCTCAAAGCTGAACTATCCGCTGCTGCTCCGAATCAGGTAGGTACCAACTTAAAAAGTATGAAATATATATATATATATATATATATATATATATATATATATATATATATATATATATATATATATATATATATATATATATATAATATATATAAAAGGGTTCTAGTTTGAATAAAAAGTTTTGATAATTATTAAAATTATCTAAAAAATAATTTTTTTTTAAAGAAAGATTAACAGTTTTTTGTTTTATCCAGGATATGAGAGCGCTTTGGCAAATGAATAGGTTTAAGGAGTACAATTTGATTGGGGCAGAATCAGTCATTAAATCTATCAAACGCCACACATGGTTTCTGGACCCTTACCTTATTGTACTAGCTCTAGCTGATAAAAAATGTAAAGAAAGAGGTGATATTGCTCAAAAACTATACGGCTATGAATTTCATAGTATGGATGAATATCCGTTAGTCCGAATAAGTGCTAACATAGAGGTCCTCAATTCTTTAGACTTCAGTGGACCGAAGCCTCCCAGCTTAGTTCATTTGGTCACAGAAAATTCGTGGCTATTGTTCCTTATGATAGGTCAAAGTAAAAGTGACTGTCAATTTATGAAAACCCCTCCAGAATATTGGACTTGCAACGATTTCTACTTAAAATTTCAGGAGGCAGTTTTTAATCTTTCAGTTGTTAATGATTGCTAGGAAAGAATCGTTAAACTCATAAAAGACAAAATTGATATTGCCCGAAAAAAAGAGAAAAGACAGAATTCACTTTTATTTTTGCATAATTACAAAAGGAAGTATGGAGGAAAAACTAAGAAATCCAATAAAAACATAAAAAAAACAATATAAAAATATAACATAACATTTTTAAAAAATAATTACAAATTTTATAGAAATTTAATTATAAAGAAATTTGTTAAACAAAATTGCTAGACGTTTTATTCAATATAATTAGATTTTTTTTCGTTTCATGTAATTTAATGAAGTTTCATGCAATATAATAAAGTTTTTATAGACCTTTAATGCTATATATAGATGTTTTATGCAACATAGTTAGGTTTTTTTTTCCAAATGGCTTAACATATCCATAAAGATATTGCAATGCGTAATATTCGGTAAAAATCTCCATAACCAAAAGCCTAAAATATGACTTTTGAGGCACTTGAGCAACCCCTAAAAGTGGTCAAATTTAAAAAAAAAAAAAATTCTACTAATAAAATAAGGGTCAACGCAGCAGATAACGCTCCATGGTACTTAAAATTTTTTCATGACCTCAAAATGAAGCAGTCTAATATATATATATACATATATGTATACATATATATATACATATATGTGTACATATATATATATATATATATATATATATATATATATATATATATATATATATATATATATATATATATATATATATATATATATATATATATATATATATATATATATTGTATAATGATTTTTGTATAATGATGTGATACCCGGGTCCCAATCTTAATTTGTCCCAAATTCAATAAATTATTTATACCACGCAGACACAATTTATGTAGCAGGAGTTTTAAAAACTTTAATGAAGAAAACTTTAAATCTGATTTATCAAAAATTGACTGGGACAATATTACAAAGTCCAATGATACTAACACATGTTTCCAAACGTTTATTACTGAAACAACATTGATTTTATATCATTATGCCCCACTTAAAAAAATCAGTATCAAAAACTTTAAACGTCGATTCAAACCATGGATTACAAAAGGAATTGTAAAATCTATTCAAGTAAGCAATCTTTTCCAAAAAAAATGTTAAGATCTAAAGATCTTATTAATAAAAAAAAATTTGAAAGTATTTTTAAAAGTTATAAATATATAATAGTTACATTAATTAAACTTAGTAAAAAATGTCATTTTAAAAAATTTTTCTTAGAAAATGTAAAAAATCTTTGCGAACTTTGGAAAGGTATTAACACTCTAATTAATGTAAAAAATTTAAATAAATCATCTCCTAACTGTTTGCAAGAAAATGATACATATATAACTGACCCGACTTTAATCTCTGAACCATTTAACACTTTTTTTACAAACGTTGCTCATAAACCCAAATCCAATATTCATTCATCTTACATTAACTATTAAAAATATCTTAAACATCCAAATTTAAATAGTTTGTTATTATCTCTAACAAATATTTCTGAAATTTCATCTCTTATATCTAAATTAAATCCAAAAACATCATTAGGTCCAAACAGCATTCCCACAAATATTCTAATAGATTTTAACTACGGTATTTCAAATATTCTTTCTAAACTATTTAATACCTCATTTATAAATGGAAAATTTCCTGATATTTTGAAATTATCTTGCGTAATTCCAATATTTAAAAATGACTCTAAACTTTCATACACAAACTCTCTTCTCTTTTATCTAACATTAGTAAGCTTTTTAAAAAACTTATGTATTCTAGAGTGTACTATTTTCTAAACTCATTTAATTGTTTAAATGATTTTCAATTTGGTTTACGATCAAAACATTCTACTTGCCATGCATTAATAAGTATAACCAAAAAAATCAGGAAAGCTCTTGATACTGGTCATTTCATTTGTGGTGTTTTTATCAATTTACAAAAAGCTTTCGATACCGTTGACCATAGTATTTTCATTTCTAAATTAAAAACATTATAGAATTTGCAGTATTGTAAATGACTGGATTCGATCTTATCTTTCAGATCGAAAACAATTTGTAAGTATTAATGGTTATTAATGGTTTTCAATTCTAGTTATAAATCAGTTTTGTGTGGTGTTCCTCGATGTTCTAGGTCCTCTTTTGTTTTTAATCCACTTTAACGACTTAATCAACTCTGTTTACTTCTCTTCAGTCCATCTGTTTGCTGATGGTACAAATCTCTTGTACATCAACAAATTGTATCATTCTTTATGTAAAAATGTTAATTCAGATCTAAAAGGTATAGTTCACTGGTTAAATGCTAACCTAATATGTCTCAACACCGAAATAACTGAACTAATTTTTTTTTTCATCTCCAAGAAAAAACAATTTCTTTATAAATGTTGAAATCAAAATCAAAATTAATAATAAACGGCTATATCCTTCAAGAGTTATTAAATATCTTGGTGTATTAATTGATTGTAATCTTTCATGGAACTTTCATATTGATGAACTAAGCAAGAAATTATCTCGAGCTAAAGGCATGCTTTCAATAATTCGTCATTATATTGATAAAGTTACACTTAGGAGTATTTACTATGCATTATTCTCATTTCATCTTAGCTATTGTTGTCAAGTTTGGGGTCAAGTTGGAAACAATCGCATTAACAAGTTGCTATCGTCTCAGCATCAACCCATCAGATTAATAAACTTCCAATTAATTAAATCAGATACATCAAAGTCCTTCAAAAAACTTTTCATTCCAACATTTCCAGCGCTATTAAAGTATGCTAATCTTCTTTTTGTTTTTGATTCCTTAAATAAAAATATACCATCTCCTATCACAAACTTGTTCACAGAAAGTAAGCTATTACATTCCTACTCGACTAGAAATATACACAATGGAAAACTAAATGTACCATCTTTTAAAACCCAGAAGTATGGTAAACGTTCTATTGTTTATCAGTGCGTCTGTGAATGGAACAGGAGCCTTGCATGCATTTTGAATGAGTCCAAAAAAATATATCCTAAAATAACTTTACACCATCTTAAACAATATCAATTTAAAAAAAATTCTGAAAAACTTTTTATTCTAACTTTTTGGCATTATTATCCTTATGATTTAAATATTATTTTCTTTTTCTTTTCGTAATTATTATAATCATCATCAGCACTTTTTTTTTTAATTTTTTTTTATTAGTAAAACCTGCAAATTGATTCCTATATGTTTGTTTTAATGTATATTTTATGTACTTTGGTTTGTGTGTTTAAGACCCATGTGTTTCAGTGTGTGTCTTTGCTTATTATTACTTATATTATTTTAAAAATTGGTGTCACTCCTTTGATCAGATTTCTGTATGAGTGACACCATCCTAATAAATCATAACTTATTTTTATATTAATATTTGTTATTATTATTTTTTTTTCATTGTAATTATTGTAAACATACTTATTACTACTATTACTATAATTTGTATTACTATTTTTTTTATGTTATGTTATTATTATATATTTTTGCTATTATTACTATTATTATTATTATTATCGGAACTATTGTAAAATGATTTACGGAAAATAAATAGCTTGTTGTTGTTGTTGTTGTTGTACAAAAAATCTTTTGTTTAAAAGTGGTCAATATTATAAAAACAAATTTTTATATAATAGATCTGATACATTTATTTAGTATTAAAATAAAAATAATACCACTTTTTGTTGGTACTCAGAGTTTATGTATGTATGTATGTACGTATGTATGTATGTATGTATGTATGTATGTATGTATGTATGTATGTATGTATGTATGTATGTATGTATGTATGTATGTATGTATGTATGTATGTATGTATGTATGTATGTATGTATGTATGTATGTATGTATGTATGTATGTATGTATGTATGTATGTATGTGTGCGTGTATAAGTATAAAAATATTTAAATATACTATTGTTATCATTGTTATTATTCTTATTACCTTTATTTTTATTAATATTATTATTTATTAATAATACTATTATTTTTATTTATACCATTATTTTTATTGTTATTAATACCATTTTTATTATTATAGTTATTATTAATGTTAATAATATTGTTAACTTTATGATTTTTAGATTTGTTATTATTTATTATTAACATCATTATTATTAGGTGTTAATGCATCATTAATAATTTTACTATTTGTAAACATCCTTGAATTGTAAAATCAAGTAATTCAGAATATATTGATTGATTGATTGATTTCATGCCTGGCACCATGGTGCCAGGCATGAAATCAATCAATCAATGATTGGTACCAATCATCAGCCACACATTTCTTGAATCAAGAAATTAAAAAACCATTAAAAATGCATTGCAATGAGATCTGACGTCAAAAAGTCCATTACATGCAGTCTACATAAACCCTGTGTCGAATTGACAAAGAAGAAATTTATTTCTATGCCAACATTTCGATATAATTTCAGTTTTCTTATTTAATAAACTGTTGTCATTGTTTGAAATAATTTCATATTTTTCATTAAAGCATAATTTGCATGATTTTGTTGTCAGGTTATATGCTTCGCATCTTCTAATTATTTTCCAACTAACCATAGGATTTTTATTATTATCTTTTAAGTGTATTTGGGGATATTAAATGATTTCAAATGGTAAGCATATCTCAGTTTAAAAGGTATTTCGCTTATACCAATTTATGATTTTTTTATTGAAGGGTTATCCGAAGTGATGGTTGCTTGGCATACAATGTTGTTGGTCAAGCAGTTATTTTGTAAAGGAAAATTGTTTTTATTAAGACAGTTGCAGTTATCTTTATTAATAGTAGGATTTTTGTTTAGGGTGTGCTTGTTGTGTAAAATTATTACTAATTTCATGTTTAGCATGCAACTGTAGGTTATTTTTTACAGTGTTCTTGTCGAAAATTTTATGTAGTTTGTTGTTAATTGGAAAATGTTTGACAATCAAGTTTAAAAAGCATTTTCCTATATTTGTGGTGACATTTATGCTAGAAGGAGAGTTGTACCATATTATTTTGTGTGTACGGTTTT